ACCCAGGCAGAGGCAGGATCCAAGCAGCCCTCTGCCAGGTGGTATCTGGCAACTTCCGATGAACAGGAATAGACATGGGTGTGCGCAGGACAAAATCTGATTGCACTAAGGGGGTGCATATACCCCTTGATGTAAAGTGGGCCTGCATGGGAGCAAGGAGAGGAGGCAATGGGGAAGAAATCCATTTGGCTTTTCAAAACCTCTTGATATTCATTCAGCATGTAATGCTCAATGAAGTACTGCTAGCACCAGCACCTTTCTTTCCTGGCACTGTTCCGTTCCCTGTGATGGCTCTGTTTATGTGGCTGCATTACGATCCAGATCAGAAAGCCTCCTCCAAAAAGGCTCCTTCTCAGGTCAGCCAGTTGCACCACTGGCCCGCTCATACTTGCATGCTAAAGGGAGTCTGAAACAGCAAATGAAGGCATTCTTCTTGGTGATAAGAAGACTGACCTCTGTGTACACACACAGGTCCTCAGCACCTCTCTTAGCATAACTGAGTTCTGCTTAGTCCCTGTTAGACATACTGTCTTATCAACCATACAGGCTTTTACTGAAGTCACTCCTTTCCTTTGTCATCGAGAGGCCCTGTAGAACCAGTTCAAAACACGACATGAAGTTAGGAGTCCATGGGACTCCATTTGCCCTTTGTCTGAGAGGAGAGACATTACTGCTGCCTCTTCACCCCTTCCATCTGTCTGCCTTTGAGCTGGCACAACAGTGCTTTACTCAGTCTCGTTCAAATCCAGGTATGAACTCAAAGTGTTGATGAGAGCAGGTTTGCAGGAAGAGGTCCCCAGAAGGCTCCTAGGAGAAGCAGAGACTCTCTGCAGATGTGCACATACCTATTTCTCAAGGTTTAGAGAGCCATGAGAGGGAAGTATAGATGCGTGCCCATAGCAATGGATGTGTCTCTCAAAGTCCTTTTCTGACTATTCACAAGCTGTAACGCTGAACACTGAGGGGTGCAGGACAAAACCCCACAGCAGAGACATGAAACCCAGATCTCAGGCTGAACTAATGTCTTATTGGAGAGCTTGTGTAAGTGTTCAACACAAAGCAACTCTAAAACAACCAGGGGCAAAGGCCTCTTTTCCTGTAACCTCTGTGGTTAAGAGCTTTTCTGGAGAGATAGGACTCTCGACTCCAAAGCACTCCTTGTTGACTTGGGCCAGGGGTTTTAGGCAGGAATTTTCTCCTTTCCCAAACATTCTACACCGCTGGGCTGTCCACAGGGTTGTCCCACATTTAAAGTTGCTCCATGTTGAAGGCTGCTACAATAATACCAGAAGATACTGGCTCTACAAGCAGATTCTGAGGCTGGGCAGCTGAGATACAGGTCTTGCACATGTGCTTTTTGGTACTTTCAGACATAAGGAAGCAGAACTAATGGAAGGGAATTCAATCTCCTTTTTTACGTTTGACATGCTAGGCAGTAAATAATTGTTTCTGGGAAATAACAACATATATTCAGATTCCCCCAAGCCGAGCTGAATGTGAATATTTTCCCTCACTAGAAACAATTATGTAAGAAAGGCTGGACAGGCCTCTTCTTTTGATGACTGTATGATGGGCTTTCCGTATGATCTTCCCAAAACTGCTGCCTCACTATGGGCTTGTCCTTTTTCCTTCTTTGGAATGACAAACCAAGCACAGACTTGAACATGCAAGATGACTGGATACAACATCACATAATCATGAGGGCTGGAAGGGACCTCTTGAGATCATCTAGCCCAATCTCTCAGAAAATATAAAATACCCCAAACAAACCAAGCTGAAAAAAAAGGAAAAAAAAAGAAAAAAGAAAAAAGAAAAAGAGAGAGACATAATGTGTGAAGACCTGTGAAGCTTCTCTTCTTTTCCAATGTAAAAGACAGATGAATTACCCATACCTCCCCTTCTCTCCTTGTCCAGCTCTGCACCTGCTGCATTCTAATTAGGCTCTCACCAATCTTTGATAACTGAACCTTGAAGTCTACAGGGAGGAATTTAAGAGATGCATAGATGTGGTGCTTAGGGACATGGTTTAGTGGTGGACTTGTCAGTGCCAGGTTAATGGTTGGTGCTGATGATCTTAGATGTGTTTTCCAACCTAAATGATTCTGTGATTCTGTTGTTTCAGGCCAAAGGGTGCACTGCTCCCTATGAGCTGTTAAGACAGGAAGGAGCATAGCTACATACTATCCAGGAGATCTTTCAAGGAGACAAGGCCCTTTGTGCCCTCTCACATGGAGACCATCAGTCTCATTGCCAATGGGTAGTCTTGTTATAGTGACACATCAATGCCATAGACTGCCACTATTATTAAACTGAGGGGTAAATGGACCTGGGCACAGCCCCCTTCCTGCAGAATCTCTTCCTTCCAGGAAAGGCTAAGTCTTGCAGATCCAAAATACAAATGCATTGTGAGGGATAACTGTGTCCTACCCCACTAGAAATCCAAAGACAAGACAGATAGGGGACCTGGTAGTGTAATAACACAACTCAAGTTCTCCATGGCAGTTAGAAGAGTCCTCTTGCCACCCAAATGGGTGCTCCTTAGAAACACTCTGAGTGAGATCAGAGAATACTGAAAGCTGGGGGTGGCTGCCCCGGATTTATATTGCTCCAGGTTGCAACAACCTTGCCCCCATAAATATTGTCTGCAGGTGGGGGCTGGTGCATCTTATTTGTAAAGACCATTTTGCTCTTAATAGGCTTTTTCTTTTGGGTCTGTAGCAAGGGAAGAGGCAATAGGATGAGGTCCTCCATCTGGCTGAGAAGGGCAGACCCATATGTCCTTGGGTGATTAACACAAATCAAAACCAGGCCCCAGTTTCCATATCATCAAAGGAGGAAAAGACTGGACCTAATCACTTTTCACCCTGGGCTCTGAAGCCTTTGTGCGAAAACAAAGCTTCTGAGCCTTAGCCAGACAATTAATTACATTAAAGCTAACACAGTACAGATTAAAGCTTTTTGTTCTGTCACCCCCCATCCCACAAGAGGATCTAAAACTATCCATCTTTGACTCCTGCAGCATGAAAGAGCAGATACACCTCAAAATGAAGATCAAGTTAGTCTGTTCTCAAATATCCATATAACATTATCATTTCATGTATCCAAAGGCATCTGTAGCTTAAAAATCAGTGGATGACAGCTCTTCTGCATAGGGGAAAGATCATTTGCAAATTGCAGAATCCTCTGTTTGTGATAACTGACTCTAGACCACCTCAGAAACGGTCTGGCAACTTGATGCCTTGTTTGTGTAGTGCTAGAGTGAATTTTGGGGGTGTTGCAGAGGTGCTGCCACTGAAGATTCTTTTACATCATCTTAAAATGTTTCTGGGGAAAGGCTTAGTAAGAATTCATTGTGCCTTTGGATTAGCGTACCACTTACAGGTTAATTCGATCTAACTACTTTGATGTAAAGCTAATGGTTGCTTTGAGTCTTTAAAGCCATATTACTGCTGTGATTATTGACATCAAGGTGATTCCTCCCCTTGGCTGTGCTATTTGGGATTAGGCAGAGATTTGCAACAGGGAATGCATGAATGAGCCTGAGTTCTATTGTCTGAGCAGCTCAGAATAGCTTTTTCAAAAGCCAGGACTTGGGTTCATGAGATATCTAAATGAAAATGTATTAGATTTCTTTCTGTTCCAGTCAAAGGCAGAGCTAATGCTGGCCTCAATCACAGAACCAGGTCTCAAAACAGGAACAAAGGCATGTTTGCAAAGCCCGGTGCTATGATTTCTCTGCTCTACCAAACTGACCATGGTAAAGAGCCCAAAGTCTGCTTGTCAGTCACATGCATCTCCCCAACCCTACCAACACTGTTCCTGACAATTAGGGAGATAAATACTAAAGGCTGACAGTCATATAGAAAAGAATTAGAAAATAGGGTGAGAGAGCAAGACCAGCTGGTGGACATCACCAGATGCCAAGGTAGGTAGGTGGTCTATAGTACAACAGAAGGAAATGCCTTTGCACATATGATTTTTAATGAGGTGTTAATTGGGCATTGGGTGGACAGGACAAAGAAGCAACTGAGGATGTGGCTTGAGGTTTTGGTTGATGCAAAGCAGGAGGCCTGGAATAAAATGAAAGCTGGGCTTTTATGGCCTCTTTCTGTCCTTTTGTCATTTGCAACAGGAGAGGGACACCAGGTGGGCAAGCAACTCTGCTCTGAAATCACAGTTAGTTTTAGGAAACCCTCCTTCTCCGGATGATGTCTCTAGGTACTCCCAGAGTGTTGCCTGTAGAAAAGAGATCTCTAAGATGCAACAGTGGAAGTGGGAAACATTCTAGCTTGTCTTCGTCAGTCAGGCAACAGAGGGAGATGGTACAGCATGCCCACCCAGGAGTAGCTGAGTGGGTGCAGGATGGCTCAGCACACAGACCTGGTGCCAATAATTAGCACATCTGAAATTGATGAAAGAACCCAATGGGAGATGATTACTTTGCTACCCACATGAGAGAGCTTTCTCCCTTCTTTCTCCCTCCAGCTTTACATCTGGTAATGATTTTGCAGCTCAAAATAGAAAGGAAGTGGGAGAAAAAGGCTTAGCTGAGCTTAGGCCTATTTGAGGAGAATAGAGAGTATGTCAGAGGGAAACAAAAAAGTGTTGTTGGAAGAATGCTTTGTTTCCCGTACCACTGGTGTCATGCTGCAAAGGATCTTGGGAGAACTGATGGTGGATGCTATCTCCCATACTTTGCCTGGTGATGGTAAGTGGGCTCTAGGTATAGCAATAAGGGCTGTAAACCCATGACTAAGACTCTTTCACCCTCCTGATCCCTTGGCATATGGAGCTCTGGAGGAGAAGAAAGGGGCTGTGACATCTTTGCTTCACAACACCTTGTGTTAAAGATAGCCTAACCTGAAAAAAAATATATACTGAGACTTCTTCAGCTGTTCTGTGTGTGGGACTAAGGGGAAGGGCTGCGTTTGAGCAAGAGAGGAGCCTGGGCCCGGGCCCAGCCCCAGCCATGCAGTCTGGATTGCTGTGGGAACACTCACCATGCACTTTGGGGACCTTGGCTTTGAGGTGTCGTTCACACTTAGCCTTGGCTTTTAGCAGTAGGAAGATCTGCTCCTCTTTGGTAATGACATCATCAGCATCCACCTGCAGTGATGGGGAGAAATGAGGTTAAACTTTAGTATGTGAAGAGCAGCAGGACACAAACTTGTTAGATAATGTAGGTGATCCAAATGCATAATCTCCTTTGCATCAGCAGTTTCCTCCACCAGCCTTACTCTATGTGTATCTCTGTTTGCTCAGCGGTTAGTGTCCCAAGCAACACCTCTTACAAGATGCCACATGGAATCCTTCGTGCACATGGCAAAGGAAGCACACACTGCAATTATTCACATCATACACACGCACACACAGGAAGCCAGCAATTTCTGGGCTGGCATACCCCCGCTTGCAGGGACAAGACTACTATCCTAGTAAATAATATTGTAGCAGGGACTCCTTTCTTCCTCTTAAGAATTGCAACCTGCCACCATCAATGCTGTGCTATTTCCATCTCTGCAGGCAGGCAGGCCTTCAACCTCTATAAGTCCAAGAACATGTGGAGAGAGAGCTGTCCCAGGCAGGCCTGTGAGCTGACAGCATCTGCCCCCCAAAGACGGAGGCTCAGAGAAAACCGTGTGCACCATCCTGGGAGAATTAGGTTTCTCATCATGTAAGATATCTAGAGGTCAAGGAACAAGAAAATGGGGGGGGCAGGGAGGGTCCTGGTTTACCCCCCTCTGTTTGTTTCTTCCTGATATGAGATATACTTGGCTCTCAAAGGCACTTACTGCTCATCAGAAAAAACAATCTTGCCTCATAAGGCTGGCACATTCCCATCAGGAATGCTGGCCTCAGTAATCTGAGGGCACCACCATGGGGAAGGCTTGTTCTACAAATGTTATAGAGTATGGAGCTTTGACCTAATGCAATATGGCTGCTTTAATTTTCTGCTGTGCTTCTTGGGCACTTAGCATGTATGTCCTGCTCAGGGAGTCTGGGACCAGTCCCACTGCCAGATAGAACCTGAGATTAGGAAGACTTCTTGCATGTCACTTTGGCAGGAATGCATGAACATTTCACCGTACCCATCCCAGGTACACTGAGGTGATACTGCCTTTGTTCTTTTCTGCTTCCCCACCCTCCCCTAAAAAAGCAGTATACTTAACTTTCTCCCACATTCATTTTTTGCCCTAGATCTCCATCACCACCAGAATGGGTGATGCTGATCATATCCTGCAGGTGCTTTGTGATTTGCATCATGTAAGGGGGTGAGGAAAGTTCTGGGCTATATTGATCTAGTGTCAATCCTACTTTTCAGGCTCTGACCTGCAGCACCTGACCACCCCCGTGAAACCTTTGAGGTTTGGGTCCATCCCTGGTACTCTGTCAGTCATGGCAGAGTGTCTCTGGGAGAAATCCTCATACACAAGATTGCCCCAAAACAGTTCAAAGCAAAGAATAACCATGTGTAACACTTCGTAAGGCTCCTGAATTAAGGATGTTGATAATGCACTATGACCACTCTTCTCATTGCCTCTGTTTCCCTGTCTGGTTTGATTAATCAGGCTATAAATGCAATGAGAGGAGATGTTGCCTCTCTCTGGATTTGTAGAGAATTTAGCACACACTCACAAAAGCATAATTGTAAGCAAGGGCTGCAATACTGGTTTATAGAAAGCAACTTCTAGTTTTCTTTATAATATTGACTGTGCTGGGGGGACTGGCCACTGTAAACGTGCAATGCAAAACCTAGGGTAGTGCTTCACATCCTGATGGATGAAGCAGACTTAAACCTCAATGCATAGTACAGGCAGGCAAAGGAAAGATTACAAAACCTTGTGGAGACAGCTGTGACCTGTAGGTGAAAGGGAAACCTGTTGATGGGTTGTAGAGCCTGCTTATGGAGCTGGCTGCTCATTTCAGTTCCTCTGAAGCACAGACTGAAGGAGGGTTATGACATTTTGCTGTACTCCCCCAAAATACTGCTATTCAGAATTAAGGTTAGTTCACTCAAGTTAATTCATTTTGGAAAGCAAGTAAGATAAAACAGCTGAAGGCAAATCAGTTCTTGAGCAAGACTTATTACAAATGACATAACGAGGGTTAATGAAATCCAGCTTAGAAGTAAATTCAGATTCAATTTCCCAGAGCGCTCCTATGGAGCGGGATGGGGGATGTTTGAGCAGCTGGTGCAGCAGTGGACACACAGATGGATAGCTAGATCTGATAAGGGGACTCTGAGTAAAACAGAAGTTAGTTTTTCATGTCCTTGGAAAAAATCCACACTAAAAATCCTCCAGAAGTGGGAGTTGGCTTCAGAACTGCATTAACATTAATGCAAAACCAAGCCATCCTTTCCCAGATGTTTGGCCTGTCCATATTTAAGGCAACATCCCACATTTAAACTCTTATTAGAAACATGAAGCCTCTAGGTCAAATTCTGCTGTCATTTATATCTGCACAAACCCTGAGTGATTCCACCAAAGCTGGGGGAGTTAAAGTCTGGATTTACAGTGGCCAGAGTAGAATCTGACCTTAGGCATTTCAAATGATTCATCTTTTGCATGCTTAATACTCAGGCTCCTTTGGCTGTGCTTTGAGAATAGTGCTGCTCCCAGCCAGAAGGACATATGGTCTCCAGGCCAGGACAGAAAATAAGTTTTATTTCCCAGAAAGGGAGATAAAGTCACCGAGCTCTGTTGGAACTGGGCAGAATGGCTGGGACAGAGCTCTGACCCCAACCCTCAGGACCCAAAGGCTCCTCAGCTTTCCTGAGCCCTGGTTACTAGTCTTAAATTTAGAAAACCTGCCAGACCCTTAAAAAACCAACAAAACCAAACACAACTCCCCATTCTCTCTCCCCCAGAACTTGTTCAAATGCTAAGAGGCATGTTTAGGACCTATCTGTCTGTGTTTCTCCTGGGTCAAAAAGGCTAAAACATGTGTGTAAACAGCTATATGAACAAGAATAGGTTTTCATTCGGTCCTGCAACTTGAAGGAGACACCTATTCCCAAGAGACTTAGGAAAACTATGCAGCCTGGCAATGCTGCTCCTTTGGTCCTGAATCATAGAATGGTTTGAGTTGAAAAGGGACTTTAAGAACCATCTGGTTCCAATCACCCTGCCATGGGCAGGGACACCTTCCACTAGACCAGGCTGCTCAAAGCCCCATCCAACCTGACCTTGAGCACTTCTAATGATGGAGCATCCACAACTTCACTGGGCAACCTGCTCTAATGTCTCACCACCCTCATAGTGAGGAATTTATTCCTCAGATCTCATCTCAGTCTCCCCTCTGTCAGTTTAAAGCCATTTCCCCTTGTCCTGTCCCTACCTGACTTTGTCAAAAGCCCCTCTCCAGCTTTCTTGTTGGCTCCTTTAGGCACTGCTCTAAAGTCTCCCTGGAGCCTTCTCTCCAGGATGAACAACCCCAGCTTCCTCAGCTTGTCTCCTTAGAAGTGCTCTAGCCCTCAAAACATTTCCGTGGCCCCTGCCTCTATCCCCTGTTAAACCTTCTTCTAAGGCATATCAATGCATTAGCCAAGCTCTAAGCTCTCCAGGGGCAGAGGATTGAGCCATATGCTGCCAGATGAGATACCAAAATGACAGACTTTGGTTCAAGGGACAGGAGTTAGGATAGAGCAAAGAATCACAGCTGAAAACCATAGAGCGGCTTTGGACTTGTTGCCTACTAAAACACTTTTGACTGTTCAATACCACTTTTTCCCATGCATCTGATTTTCTTGCTCTGGATAGTCCAATCTTAACGCAATGCTGCCTTACTCATCCTGGCTGTCAAAAGTCAAAAGATACCCACAAGAATATTTTCTTTACAACACAGATGAACTTATGATATTAAACTTCCTCTTTAATGAACAGTCTCAACACCTGATCCAGAAATACTGTGGGACATCCTTGCTAAAGTAATTAGCAATCATGAATGCCAACTTCTTAGAATCTGAATGTTCCTAGGCAGAGAAATAAGTGGCTTCATTTTCAGATGTGCTGAGGTACAGGCTTCAGGTATTCATAACAAGTGGGAGCTGATGCTAGTGAAGCAGTCACTACTTTGGAGTAGATTTAGATCCCTTGGGTTGGGAGAAATGTGGCCAGAGATATGTCTGTAAGACGCTCAACGGTGCAAAGCTGATTAGTCACAGATTTGCAGAATTTGAAACCTGGGAGGCACAAGATGAAGAGAAGAAGGTCTAAAAGGAATAGGAAAATGCATGTGAGCCAATCATAACAGTGGATTCAAAACAGGATTAGACAAATTAATAAAGAAAAGTATTCATCAGTAGCTGTTAAAAACTGTAGCTTGGATGCAAATTTTTTGATGCAGAAATTTTCAGTGATCAGCAATCTTAAACTGCTGATCACCAAAAGCTGGGAAATGACATCTGTAAAAGCTGTCTCTCTAAGCATCCTAAACCAGCAGCTTCTAAGGATTGTCTGTTTGGACAGAAGATTGACTGAATAAGGCTGTTTTCATATAAACCTATAGGCTGTTTTTCTAAATCCAAAGAAAGCTTGTGCATTCTGAGCATGCAGAAACATAAACATACATCCAGGGTTTGGTCTGATTTTACATGCTCAGCACAAGCTGCATTCTCTACACCTGCTGCTCAGGACCATGAAGCAGTAGATTAAGAGGTGCTAGAAGTGCTTCATTCAGGTGAGCACTGCCACCACAACTTGCAAAGGCTTACATATTCAATATTTCACTCACCTTTAACAACCCCCCCCCCCCCGCTATAAGCCTACTTATCTGCAGCCCTAAGTTTTTCATTCTGTACTTACTGATTAGCCAACAGAAAAGAGCAAACACCATATGTACTTACTGATACAGTACCTGCCTTGCTGGCCAACTGGGAATATTCAGGATAAGATTTACCAGTCTGAAGTATCTACCCAGTGTTCCCCTTATAGTCACCGAGTATTTAGAAACACAGATCAGCTGAAATTCATTCCATCCTCAAACCACCACTGTGGGGATTCTCTCTCCTTTTCCTCTTCCCCCTTTTTTCCCCTTTAGGCAGCTGACAACTGCAGTAATTGGTACCATTAACAAGACTGAGATCTGTGGTGTTTAATTGCAGAGCT